TGGATTGCTTGTCCTTGTCAAAAGAATACAACAGACGATCGACAATTTGCGCCTTTTTTGTCGCTGTTTTTTATCTACTAACGACATCTGATCAACCCAGTACAAAGTCATGTCAGTGCTCTGTTTTAGCAATTGTTAAGCAATGAAACAAGTTTTATTTACGATTTAAAGTTTAATCCACGGTTTCACGTATAAATCAATCCAATAATAACTGGTCTACCTAAACATCTCGTTATCGGTTGGCAAACGACGTCGGCAGTTGACAGATCTCGCGAGAGTATGGCGCTGACACAGAGGCAGGTCTCCAATCAAGTAAATTTTCTCCTGATCTGTTGATCTTAAAAATGTAATTTTGATGTCAGAATGTTTTGAAAACGTGTGTCTTGCGAAAACTGGGTCCAATATATATTTCGGTGACTATGGAGCGAAACAATCTGTGATAATCTGTGATCTCGTTCACTTCGCCCATTGGAATGAATACAACCAGACCTGCTGCTGGTCTCCTAGAGGCGGGGGAGGTGGAGACAGATACAGGAAATAAACAGAAGCGTCTCGGTTTCTCTACTGTCTCTGCTACACCCCACTGTTTGTTATTGTTGAGCTAAACTTTTGTTTAATAAACTACTTTTCTTAAACCGTTCATATGGTGTGTCTCACACATATGTCATGGTCCAAAAGGGTAATAATTACATTAACATGTCCTTCATTTTCATAAATCTGATAGAATCATACAGTATGAGTACGATGCCAATGAGCAACAAGAGAGGGGCACAAAAACACAAATAATCATGAATGTATGCATGTGTATGTATGTGTGTATGTATGTATGTGTATGTGTGTGTGTATATATATATATATATATATATAAATAATAAACTAAATTAAAATATATATCTAAACATATGTATATATATGCACACACATATATAGGCTGTATATATATATATATAAAATTTTGTCTGCACTGTAAGAAGACAGACTGTTCGACTCTACTCTAGAGCACAGGGCTGGACAGTTGCCTGGCAACACAATTCTAATCACTGTCCACCTGTTGTACCAGTGATCCTTCCAGTCTGTCTGTATGCTCTCTTTCTAACTGTCGAGAGTGTTTAGACTGTTTCTGTAATCTCATGTTGCAAGCTCAAACTTGAAAAATGTGGTATACATGGTTGTTATGGCTATAGAAATCATATGGAGATCAGAATTTTAGGTCACAGGTTCCCCAGCTCATCAGGAGCAACGGGATGCACCTGGGATCTCCCTCAGCTGGTGGCAATCAGCTGACCCTGAGAGGTTTTATAAGGAGGTTTGGTTTCTTTGTTCATTTTGGTTTTTTGCTGTCAGAGGGACAACACCTTCAGTTGGTTCTCTGAGTTTTGTGTTGTTGGTTTTGCCTATTTTAAGACTTTCTCATTTGGCCATTTTATTTACCCCCCCTCACTGTGACTTCCACTTACTTGGTTTAGGTCCAATCTTCTGTTACTGTTACTGTAACTGAAATTGGGTTAAAACAACTAGATGTGAAGCTCAAGCTAGAACAAATAAAGTTTGAGCAAATGAGAATGCAGTTGACATTTCAGGAAAGGCAAAGTGAAAAGGAACAGACCATTCGTTTGAAAAAGCTTGAACTTGAAAAGCTCCATATCAAGTCAAATTAACAGTTTATGTCAAAAGACTTTGATCTAGTGTGGAACAGCAGAGCTGTGCCACCATTTAATGGAAAGGAAGTATATGAGTATTTCACACTTTTTGAGCGGGGTGCTGACACACATGACTTCAAACTGTTAGTGGAAACAGCTCAGTGTTTATGCATCTTTGTCTGTTGCTCAAAGTTCTGACTGTAAAACTGCAAAAGAGGCTATCCTTCATTTTTACGTATTGGTACCAGAAGCATATAGGCAGCAATTTTGTAAATTGCAAAAGGAGACTCAAACTCTGACTGCTGTCAGAGGGGCAACACCCTCAGTTGGTTCTGAGTTTTGTATTGTTGGTTTTGCCTATTCTAAAAATTTCTCATTTGGCCATTTTTATTTACCCCCCCCCCCCTCCCCTCTGTGACTTACACTTTATTTTTGTTTAGGTCCAATTCTCCTGTTACTCTGTCCTTTTGATGGATTTAGTGGCTGATGGTTGGGAAATAAAGTCCAGTCGTTACCTTTTAGAACCCAGGGCCCACAGTGGCCCCTGTGTACCAGGGTTTGTTTTTTTGTTTTTTTTTGGGGGGGGGGGGGTGGACATAACAATGGTGTGTTATGCTAGATCAGAAAATGGGTGGCAGTGGTTGAAAGTAAGTACATTTCCTCGAGTATATGCTCATGTCTCTTAACACGCTACTTTATACCCCCACTCCTCTAATATATATTAATATGTTGAAATAGTGAACTTTTTTTGGTCCAATTCATTTGACAGCTATAGTTACTTTGCTACTGTTAGCCACCCTTTTCATATTAATATATGACAATCCTACAATGATGGATTATCGATTTAAAGTGCTCAAGTAGTCAGTAGGTAAATGAACCTTAACATGTCAATGCATCATATAGAAATTATAATCTGATAATTGAATATGTACTGTATATTCTAGCAGGACTACTTGTATCCAAGTTATTTTAAATGTTTTTTTTATGTCAACCCTTATTTACAACTCCTGTTTGCTTCCCTTGTACATTTAGTTTTTGGCATGGTATATGTGCTCAAACATTTTTTTCCTTCTTTCCCTGTAAGCCCTATAAGTATTGCAGGCTGTAATTAAAAATTATTACTACAATATTAGGTGAGTTCTTACTACTAATGGGTCAGACCACACCAACGTTTGATCTCGATCTTGGATCTGAACTTCAAATTTGTAAAGTTTTGTGAATGTATTTTGCACAGTTGTGAGAAGCTGTCCAGAGACATAGGAACACCTGCCAAAGGACACAAAACCACTGTAGTGGTTATGGCTTCAGTAGGACATCCAGAGTAGGAGACTCACCCAGGTGAGAACAATACCAGCCAAGCAGGTAAACAATTCTCACCACTATCATGCAAACTCATTTGATCAGTCACTCTTAGTGTTTCGAGTGACAGTTGACGTAAACCCAGTAAGACATGTAAGACCTGTAACACTCTAGTGTCTTTATCCCTTCTCTTTTCCTTGTTAACTGGATTAGCCTGATGTAGCTTTACCACACTCCTTTTTGTCCCAACACTGTCATGATCAGGTAAACCCAATGACATGATCCTATGCTGCCTCCTGTAGGCGCTAGCGCATCCTACAGACAAGATTCAGGAGCATGTGTTTGGACAGGCTGAGACGGTAATGAGGAACATTTGGTCAACCAGTTAACCTGAGAAGAACTTGAGAAACACAGGCTTCTCTGAGTGTCAATAAATCTCTTCAGAGCTCCTGAAGAATAAGATTGTTCAATGTACGTAAAGCTCCTATTTCACATTAATCAAAAACCTTTTGAGGTTGCAACTCTATAGTAGTGGCCAGTCTTTATGGCCTGATGTTTGAAATCAACTCAATATGTCAATCCATTTTCATGCATGCATTTATTTATCTATGCTATTTTTTATATATATATATATACAATGTTTACAATTTATGATGACCATCTCAACAAGTGACAAAAATAATTTTACATTGTATATAGTTGCTCATTTTGAAAATAAAGTACAAAATGTGTTCCCACTGATGTAAAAAAAAATAAATAAATAAAACAAATGTTGTGGCTTTGAAACATATGTTTTTTTAAGGGTGTTATGTAGATTCAGTGGTGCCAAAAAGCTCAAACATCTCAGGGATATCTGTGCCTCAGGGAGTCAAAATGAGCATCCATATACATGTGTTCACAGATCTTACCATTATTTGCAGTGATTTTGAATTCACATTGATTTCCAACACCCTTCAAACAAAAGGTGAAAAAAATGCAGTTCATGAGTTTTATTCCTCGAGCCATTCATCACTGGTCATGTAGTTCAGACGTCCCTGAACTTCACTCAGTCCACATTGAGGATTATTCCAGATTAAAGAGACAGTAAAAAGGAAAATGTCCAGGTAAATGAAAATGTCTCTATGTTTAAGAGACAGAGGACACTTCTGTCTTGCTGGTAGAAACTGAGCTCTCATCCTCCACCATGCCGCCCATTCCAATAGCGCTCAGCATGCAGTTACGGAACTGAAAAAGAGCAAAAAAGATGTTAAAATAACAAGTTTCTAACATTCATCATGGTGGGTTTAGACACTGAAAACTTAAGGTAAGACCATTTTCATAGCAACCAACCTGTTTGTTCATCAGCACATAGATAAGTGCGTTGTACAGTGCTGAGCTCTTTGCAAAGAAGGCAGGGATGGATGCAGTCAGGGCAGTGAAGGCAGCTCCCTTGTTCAGGAAGATCCAGGCGGCAAAACTGGCATATGGCACCCAAGCTACCAGGAAGCCAAAGACCATCAGGATGCACATACGAGTCACTTCCCTCTCAGCCTTTTGGGTGGACTCTGACTCCTGCTGCTGGGCTGCAGCCTGAAGAGTTTGAGACCACAAAACGTCATCAGAATTCACAGAAGAGACCATTTTGCCAGATTTAAAATGAAAAGCACCTATTCTTCAACTGTGTTTCTTCAGGATTGAGCTATAAGTTAAACATCTGATGAATTTAAATTTTACTCACAGCTTTGACTGTCATGACAAGGCTTCCATAAGTGAAGAAGATGATAACAACAGGAAAGATGAAATGGATTACAAACAGGTACATGACATATGATTCGTTGTTGAAGCCTGGGGCCAGGGTGTAGTAGTCAGGTCCACAGGAGCACTGCATGCCCTCAGGGAGGTACCTGTGTGAGATTGAAGAAGAGCCATTATTATAAATAATCAAGACTGTTCACTTCTACTGTTGTTTTCTTAAGGTGGATGGTTTGTTTGAGTGGTTTTCTGTGTTTTCAAATCTTCACTGTGATGTTTTATGTAAGTAAAATTACAGATAGAAATGTGAATTAACCTGGACCAGCCAAACAGTGGGGGACCAGCGCATGCAAAAGCCATGACCCAGGTGAAAAGGACTCCAGCTCCTGCGTGAGTTCCAGTGAACTTGAAGCTTCCCATGGGTTTGCAGACGACAATGTATCTCTCAACGGCCAGGACAACCAGAGACCACAGAGAAACTTGACCTGTATAGAGAAAAAAAGGGCATATTTCAGGTTAACATGCAACACCTTCATGCAACTACAGTACTGAGGAGAAATTGAAGAATTGGGTTGTATGGAAGAAAGTAGTTGACATTTTACCTCCCAGTGTGGCCATGAATCCCTCAGCAGCGCAAGCAGTGGCTCCGAGAACGAAGTAGCCATTAACAGCAGAGGTGATGGTGATGGTGAATCCGAAGGCGCACATGATCAGTCCGGCCACAGCCAGGTTGACCAGGATGTAGTTGAGAGGCTGCTGGAGTTTCTTGTTCTGAAATGTTACCAGCAATGTCAGACCGTTGATGGGAGTTCCAGTGCAGATCAGGAAAAACATGTAGAAAGCCAGCAGTTTGTACATCATGGGGTCCACAAGGTAATACTGTGGGTATTCAAAAGGACTTCTAACAATCCCAGTCTTGTTGGACATGGGGATGTAGAAGTTCTTGCCCTCTGTGCCATTGGGCTCAATTCCTCCTTCCCAAGCCATTTCTGTTGTCTGTTGTTCTGTTGAGTTTCTTCACCTAAAGAACTCAAGTGCGGATTGTCATGATAGTCAGAGTTGCTGGGTATGATTTTTATACCTCACCACCAACCCTTTTGTCAAATTTCCAAAATGAGATTACAGGATGAGGTAGCGCAGGAGGTAGAAGATGCCCCTAATTAATCCTAACACCCTGGGTGTTAGGATTAATAGAGACGCCAGAGCCCAAAGTAATTTGCTCCACTTTTCCAGGTCCAGGGGAATTTTCTTAATCCCAATTAATGAATATGAACTAAATTCAGTCAACATCTTTTGGCACATTATTCCAAACAAGCAAATTTAAATTGAAATTATGAGGAAAATATTGAGTCTATAGAAATATATTATCAGTACATAATAACCCTCTTTTTTGAGAACATTCATGTATGAACTGATCAGTTTGTTTTGAATATGGACCAATGAGAAAAAAAGTAATAGATACAGTAGATAATGCTATGCTTCAAATAGAAGCAAGGGCACATACGTTCTCATGTGACCTATGCATGTGATGAGCTGAGGAGAAAAACCTCACTCACTATTTTTGTAAACAATTTTCTTTCTACCTCGATTTCAGTAATATAAGGATCTGGGTAGGAGAGCTCGTTTCTTTTCTTCCTTTTTTTTCATTGATTGTTTAAATGCACTGAGTTGAGTGTTTTTAGGGTTTATATTAGGCCACACCAACAATCTAACATTTCCACTATCATCATCCCTCACCAGTGAGTGAGATGTGGGTGTCATTATCCTGATCAGATTAATCTCAGTGCTTCACCTACAGTGGCCTGGCTGTGATGTAGCAAAAGCTTATTGTCACAGGATGGAAAGAAAATGTCTGCTAAAGACTTATCTAATTTGTTATCTTCCTTCCGTGGCAAAGAACATCCAGTATCAAATAATGCCTTCTGTTTACTTTAAGACTGCCCATTCTTAAAAATGAATGGAAATCAAAGGAAGTCAAAGGAAGGGCTGAAGACAGATAATGACTGAATCAACTGTCACATGATTTTGTCACTTTAATGGTTGGGGACTGCAGATGCAGTAAAGTTTCAAATCCATCCTTAACAATCAAACAGTCAGTGTTTACTATCACTATAGTGTATGTGCCAAATAAACAATTTTAAATCCACTGTAAGTAAAAGCCACAAATGATGCCCTGTGAACATCCACTATAATGTAGGCTTTTGCTTGTTTAATAAAGGGGTTTGCTTGTTACGCAATGTAGTTATGTTTTTTTCTTTTTTTTTTTTTTTTCTTTTTTGTGCTCGTTAAATGTAGTTTTCTTTGTTAAACGTAGGGGTCTGTTTGTTTAATGTTGTTTTGTTAATGCATTTTTTTCCTTAAATATAGGGGTCTGTTTCTTAAATGTTGTTTTGTTAATGCATTGTTTTCTTAAATGTAGGTGTCAGCTTGTCTGATTTTGTTTTAATATTTTCAGCTCATTAGTGCAGTTTTTTTGCCTGTTTCCTGTATGTTAATTGTCCCACATAACATGTATGTGTGAGTTACATATATGTAGAGTAAGTAATCAATTCACTTCTTATAAATATTTTCTATCCATTTAGTTTCTTCATCTGTATCTTGTCTTTTCAATGGTACATGTATACATATGTGTTCAAAATTAATTGAACTGAAATGTTTACTAAGTAAACTGATGGTTTTTGATAACCTGACCTCAATAGAAACAACAGAACTGCAGATAATGCCCACATGCCCCATGTCACATTCAAGGTGTCCCAAGTGGCACTCTTGTTATCTGTCTTATCACCTAACAAATTGAGCAGAAGAATTAGAGCACCATCCGGTGTTAAGATCATTAACAAATTATTTCTACTTACCTCACCCAACCTGAAATCTAATTTTGCTAATTTGAGTCTGTCTCCATTTATAAGACAGTCTAAGACTTTGTAATTAATGAGGGATTCCGCTGGTAGACAAACAAGCTCATAGTGTCCATCCAGTTATTGAAGATGTTGAGAGCATTGAGGAACATCTACATTCTCATGTCCAGCAGGACTGTGAGAGTGAAGTCTGTTTGAATACCCAGTTTTATTTGATAGAACCGGGTAGATTCTTACATGTTTGTCCTGATCTGACCTGGATCTCCATCAGTGTTCTGCCACTGTTCCAGGACTAAGAAGCTCAAGCAATAGCTCAAATCTTTTCTGGTGATCTCAGCTGTGGTTGGACTGATGAAGAACCACCCTGGATTCACTACCACCATCACACCCACTAAACCGTCTGTGTTATCGAGGGATTCATGGCCATACTTGGCGGTAAAGTGCAAATGAAGGTATCAGAAATATACTCTGTACACTTCACTTCTGTACACTGTATAAGTTTCTCATTGCTTTGAAATAATCTGTGTTTCTACCAAAAGGCCCTTGATATAAAATAAATGTGTTTGATTACTTATGAGATATTGCTTGACTCTGATCATGACATTATACTCTTGATTTTTGTCAAATGGTCACTATGAATGCAGTGCAGAGGTTGAGCAGATGTTGTATTCAAAGTAAACAATGACTTAAAATATGGGTGCATAAATATCTTAGGATAGGATGGATTTATCACTTTAGTCACTTCAAGTTGACATAAAATATTATAACTATTCAGCAAAAAAAATGTAAAGCTGTTGCTATGTAAAGATGCTGCTGTTAAAAGCATAAAGTACATGAAATGTACAAGTACTACTTCTGCTGAAACTACTACTGCTACAACCAGTAGTTATATTTAACTAAGCCTTTTTTTCTAAACACTGTCACAAAGTGTTTTATCAAACAATAGACCCAAATGACATGGAAAACTCGTAATTGTAACTGTAATAAAACCAAGTTAGTTATAATACTAATACAATTGTTTTTCAAAAGTGAACAAGTCTAAGGGGCCCTGACAACAAAGATGCTTATCACCTTTGTGTTTGGATTTGGAAACAATGCGAACACCTAAAGATCTTGGGGAAATCTGTAATAGTTTGAGTTTTCTAAACTCTCATTTATCTCAGATATGTGATAATATCTCTTTTGCACTCTATCCAAGATGAAGATCGATCATTGTTGTCTGCAAATCATGACAAGCCTCAAGTTCACTGCAGATCATGCAAGAACTGACACTTTCTTCCTCTTGATCAGGACTTGTGCTTATAATATTGGAGTTTGTTGAAAGTTTATTTAGAGGATTATTTATTTATGTGCCCATATATGGGAAGCCTAAGAAGAGCTGAATGGAGTTGAACTTGGTTGTAGATACCTTTTTTTAATTTAAGTTTCACCTCTCATCCAAGAGGCTTCTTCAGTTTTGTGAAGAATTGAGGTGAAATGTCCTGTATTATCCAGTTGCCCTCGATTCTACTCTTCTTGGATAAGCACAACCAAAGAGTCATCACAGACATTTGGGAAGCCTGTTTCACATGTCCTTACAGAGGATATCTACCTGGATCAGCTTCAGTAACCAAGCTTGGAATTAAATGTTGTATGTCTTTGCAATTATATAAAATGCAGGAAAGCAAAACAAAACACAGGTGTGACAATGCAGTGTGGACCAAACAGCCATTAGAGGCACACGACTGAAGACATGTTTGAAGAAAAAAATAAAAAATAAAAAAATTATGACCATAACGGCTACCTAACACTACGTTTATCAGCCTAGGGCATTCAAAATAGCTATTTATGACGATGGCAGTCATGAAAGGCCAACTACTGTATTTCAGTTAGGCACCAGGGGAAGTCAGAGATTACGTACGGTAGGTTATTGGCTGGAACTTGCCATAGAGAGAGAAAGAGAGTACCCCAGACAGCCTCAGGATCAGCACCATGGAGAGCACTGCAGTCCTGACTGAGAGAAGAGACCATCACAGAGAGTTATAGAGTTATAACTACTGCCACAGTCAGGCACGGTGATATCTGCTCCACATAAAGTGGGACATTCTCCAGTCTTAAAAATGACAAGGTGAGTCCCGTTGAAATTCGGAGACACATGCAGAAATGTGTCATTATCCTGATCAGATTAATCTCAGTGCTTCACCTACAGTGGCCTGGCTGTGATGTAGCAAAAGCTTATTGTCACAGGATGGAAAGAAAATGTCTGCTAAAGACTTATCTAATTTGTTATCTTCCTTCCGTGGCAAAGAACATCCAGTATCAAATAATGCCTTCTGTTTACTTTAAGACTGCCCATTCTTAAAAATGAATGAAAATCAAAGGAAGGGCTGAAGACAGATAATGACTGAATCAACTGTCACATGATTTTGCCACATTAATGGTTGGGGACTGCAGATGCAGTAAAGTTTCAAATCCATCCTTAACAATCAAACAGTCGGTGTTTACTATCACTATAGTGTATGTGCCAAATAAACAATTTTAAATCCACTGTAAGTAAAAGCCACAAATGATGCCCTGTGAACATCCACTATAATGTAGGCTTTTGCTTGTTTAATAAAGGGGTTTGCTTGTTACGCAATGTAGTTATGTTTTTTTCTTTTTTTTTTTTTTTCTTTTTTGTGCTCGTTAAATGTAGTTTTCTTTGTTAAACGTAGGGGTCTGTTTGTTTAATGTTGTTTTGTTAATGCATTTTTTTCCTTAAATATAGGGGTCTGTTTCTTAAATGTTGTTTTGTTAATGCATTGTTTTCTTAAATGTAGGTGTCAGCTTGTCTGATTTTGTTTTAATATTTTCAGCTCATTAGTGCAGTTTTTTTGCCTGTTTCCTGTATGTTAATTGTCCCACATAACATGTATGTGTGAGTTACATATATGTAGAGTAAGTAATCAATTCTCTTCTTATAAATATTTTCTATCCATTTAGTTTCTTCATCTGTATCTTGTCTTTTCAATGGTACATGTATACATATGTGTTCAAAATTAATTGAACTGAAATGTTTACTAAGTAAATTGATGGTTTTTGATAACCTGACCTCAATAGAAACAACAGAACTGCAGATAATGCCCACATGCCCCATGTCACATTCAAGGTGTCCCAAGTGGCACTCTTGTTATCTGTCTTATCACCTAACAAATTGAGCAGAAGAATTAGAGCACCATCCGGTGTTAAGATCATTAACAAATTATTTCTACTTACCTCACCCAACCTGAAATCTAATTTTGCTAATTTGAGTCTGTCTCCATTTATAAGACAGTCTAAGACTTTGTAATTAATGAGGGATTCCGCTGGTAGACAAACAAGCTCATAGTGTCCATCCAGTTATTGAAGATGTTGAGAGCATTGAGGAACATCTACATTCTCATGTCCAGCAGGACTGTGAGAGTGAAGTCTGTTTGAATACCCAGTTTTATTTGATAGAACCGGGTAGATTCTTACATGTTTGTCCTGATCTGACCTGGATCTCCATCAGTGTTCTGCCACTGTTCCAGGACTAAGAAGCTCAAGCAATAGCTCAAATCTTTTCTGGTGATCTCAGCTGTGGTTGGACTGATGAAGAACCACCCTGGATTCACTACCACCATCACACCCACTAAACCGTCTGTGTTATCGAGGGATTCATGGCCATACTTGGCGGTAAAGTGCAAATGAAGGTATCAGAAATATACTCTGTACACTTCACTTCTGTACACTGTATATGTTTCTCATTGCTTTGAAATAATCTGTGTTTCTACCAAAAGGCCCTTGATATAAAATAAATGTGTTTGATTACTTATGAGATATTGCTTGACTCTGATCATGACATTATACTCTTGATTTTTGTCAAATGGTCACTATGAATGCAGTGCAGAGGTTGAGCAGATGTTGTATTCAAAGTAAACAATGACTTAAAATATGGGTGCATAAATATCTTAGGATAGGATGGATTTATCACTTTAGTCACTTCAAGTTGACATAAAATATTATAACTATTCAGCAAAAAAAATGTAAAGCTGTTGCTATGTAAAGATGCTGCTGTTAAAAGCATAAAGTACATGAAATGTACAAGTACTACTTCTGCTGAAACTACTACTGCTACAACCAGTAGTTATATTTAACTAAGCCTTTTTTTCTAAACACTGTCACAAAGTGTTTTATCAAACAATAGACCCAAATGACATGGAAAACTCGTAATTGTAACTGTAATAAAACCAAGTTAGTTATAATACTAATACAATTGTTTTTCAAAAGTGAACAAGTCTAAGGGGCCCTGACAACAAAGATGCTTATCACCTTTGTGTTTGGATTTGGAAACAATGCGAACACCTAAAGATCTTGGGGAAATCTGTAATAGTTTGAGTTTTCTAAACTCTCATTTATCTCAGATATGTGATAATATCTCTTTTGCCCTCTATCCAAGATGAAGATCGATCATTGTTGTCTGCAAATCATGACAAGCCTCAAGTTCACTGCAGATCATGCAAGAACTGACACTTTCTTCCTCTTGATCAGGACTTGTGCTTATAATATTGGAGTTTGTTGAAAGTTTATTTAGAGGATTATTTATTTATGTGCCCATATATGGGAAGCCTAAGAAGAGCTGAATGGAGTTGAACTTGGTTGTAGATACCTTTTTTAATTTAAGTTTCACCTCTCATCCAAGAGGCTTCTTCAGTTTTGTGAAGAATGGAGGTGAAACGTAACACTACGTTTATCAGCCTAGGGCATTCAAAATAGCTATTTATGACAATGGCAGTCATGAAAGGCCAACTGCTGTATTTCAGTTAAGCACCAGGGGAAGTCAGAGATTACGTACGGTAGGTTATTGGCTGGAACTTGCCATAGAGAGAGAAAGAGAGTACCCCAGACAGCCTCAGGATCAGCACCATGGAGAGCACTGCAGTCCTGACTGAGAGAAGAGACCATCATAGAGAGTTATAGAGTTATAACTACTGCCACAGTCAGGCACGGTGATATCTGCTCCACACAAAGTGAGACATTCTCCAGTCTTAAAAAAGACAAGATGAGTCCCGTTGAAAGTCGGAGACACAAGCAGAAAAGGTTTTAGAGATGCTTTTTACAGTTAATAATAAAGCATTTCATCTGTTTATCATACAATGTAATAAACAAACTCAAATGCCTTTGTTATCAATATGATTTAAATATTTACCTTCATATACAATGTTGCATGCCCAGGAGTCCCATCTTCTTAACTTTCCTCAGTTATGGGTCTCTACAGCAGCAACTCATACCCTCTTTGAGCTTGGCTCATTATAATTCTGTTACCTATGTGCTGATGAACAAACAGGTTGCTTCTCAAACAAAGTTTAGTATTGGAACCTGCCAACACTGCTGAACTGACTGAAAGCGATTTTTTCAAATACACAAAGTAAGACTAATCAACTGCTACTTACTTGCTGCTAATATTTAATGATGCTGTCATTGTTTGAATTAAACATATTTGCTGTGTATGGCCATTAGGAGTAAAATAATCCTTAATCCGTATACCATGGTTCCTCGTTGTTTTAAAATAAACTGAACTCTCTCTTTGCTTTTGGGAAATATTCTCCATGTTTTTGTCACCTTGTTTGCATCAGTTGTGACATTAGTGAATTGGTGGAAGTAAGACAGTAAGACAGAAGTGTCAACTGTTTACCTACAATAAAAGCCTTTACTCAGCTCTGGACGTTCTTCTTTCCATCTCATTCTGTATTATTGTGTATATGGACTGATTTTTATCTTTTCCTTTAAGAAAAATGTATGTGTAAAACATATCCGATCAGCAGATCGTCTTTGCAAGGATTGTCAGACCCAAGCCATGATCTTGGACTTAACCCTATCATGAAGTATTTGTTAAGCAAGGGGGATTAACCGGGCGTTTCTGACCCAATGGCTTTTGAAGAGGGATTTCATCTGGAAAATTCAATCACTAATATTACAGTTCTCTTTACTTCAAAACTACTGCACATTGTTTTAAATCCAATATAATAGCATGATTATCTGCAGTTTACTCTTGCCTTGAAAACATTAAACAGTGATTGACCCCAGGCAGCCGACACATGATCAGACAAATGATCTAAAATCCGGAAAATACTTTGAGGACAGCATTAATCTAACCCAGTGTTGGAAAGCAACCTACTCCAAAATACATTTTACATGCCTGGACTCTACTTGAGTATTTCTGTTTTTAGCTGTTTTATACTTTTGACTCCACTGGTCAAATATAATGCACTGTTTTATCCAACAGTTTTACAATAGTTAGTTAAAATGATGTTCACTCATGCATCAGCAATGCAATAATACTATACATTTAACTACCGGTGGTTAAGAAGTACTTTGATCTGTCACTCAGTAAAAGTGCTAAATACTACAGCGTATAAACACTGTTACAATTCATAATTTTACTTAAGCAGAATACAAAAGTTTTAGCATCAACATAAGTACCATAAGTAAAATTACGTATTGTGCAGCATGACACATTTCAAAATAATGTATATTGTATCATAATTATTGATGCATTAATGTTTAGGTGAAACAAATTTTAATTATTCTATATACTGTTGGGTAGCTTGTGAATTTCCTGTGGCTCAATAGAGTCTTATCTTATTGTAACCTATCATATTAAATACTAATTTATTTGGTGGTTACATTTTGTATTTCTGTATCTGCAAATAAACTAGTAACTAAAGTTTGCCTATCAAATGACTATAGTGGAGTAAAAAAAAAAAAAAAAAAAAATACAATATTAGTCTCTAAACTAATACCTCAAAACTATACTTGAATACAATATGTAAATTTCATTCTTGAAACATCTGCCTAAGGACTGCGAGATTACTCTATTTCCTGTGTTTGACCAGGTTTTGACTCTCGAGGAACACATGGCGAGCATTGCAGACTTATCTTATAAGATGTAAGAACTAGATCTACAACCAAGTCCAGTTGCCCTCGACTACTCTACGACTACGACCCTACCCTTCTTGGATTCCTGGATCGTCGCAGATACAGTATTTCAATATTAAAGTGCTGTGTTGGAAATCCAATACCCTTGGATATAAATATATAATAATAAAGTTTTATTAAACAAAGCTGAGCCACAGTATTTTAACACAGTTTCGAAACGACTCTCAGTCCTTTGTAAATAGATATGGATTAAACCTGAATGGCTAATGAAACTACAGTATGACTCAGTAGATCGCTTACCTCCGCCAAGGCCAAATAATCCTACACATGATTATTATCTGGATCTGCACCAAAATGAACAAAGTTATAGATCTCAACACAATTAATATGCTCAGGTTTTCCACATCAAGATCTATACATTATTTCCTTAGAAATTGACGAAAAACTTAAAGGGAAGTGAAAGAAAAAAAAAATGAATCCGCCCCTTAAAACAGAACAAAAAATTGAATGGGTTCTTCCCAGGCCCATGTTCCCATCCCTCCAACGGGTTTGGTGAAAATCAATAAAATAAACAAACAAACCCACAAATGAAAGCCAAACCTTGGCGGAGGTAATGCGAGTGAGACTCAAGGCAAACGGAGAGACAGGCAAGTTTTCTCCAGCTACCACCTTGCTTGACTTACCCAATTTCTGAGCATTTGTCACGGTCTCCCAGCAAACTCTTCTGCTCTTCAGTGTCAGTCTGAACATGCATTTTGACAACAAAGCATCAAGGTGATTACTGAAGAATAGGGATGGTCGCCAAGCAGAAGACAGTGTGTGGTCAGTGGTAGGCGCAGAGAGAAGCTGCTTGGTAGGGTGTGACTATCAGCTGAGCAAAGCCTACGATCAGCATGCATCCGTGCAATTTGTTAATCATCATTACGTACTACTAAAAAATAATAATAATTAAAAAAAAAAAATATTGTAAATAATTAGTGCCTTAGTAATAAACGCTAAATTAAAAATTGTAATTAGTACATGTTCAATACTGCTAATTTAATCCCGGATTGCTTTAGCCAGAGAAATAATTTTAAAGTTCCTGCCACAAACAGAGAATAAGTCCTACATATATTGGAACGTGGTGTATCTTGTAATGCAGCATTTTCTAGTTGATCTACCATTACTGTTCCAAATGTAGGTTTAAAACTGTGAGGATAGATTAGATAAACATGTGACCCCTAAGTCTCTCTCCCTCAATGCTAAAGTCAATTAACAATCAGAGATGAGCTCTTCACTTCCTAGAAATCCTCTCGTAATCTAATTTTGTCAATTTGTGGATAACGCTGGGAAGGTATAAAACAACACCCAGGAATGCATAAGCTGTCTGTGTGTGGTTGGTTTATACCACTGGTGACTACTTGTTGGGCTTGCATACTACTGGCACTCTCCATCAACTGAAGCTCGGCTACTGAAGATGGCTTGGGAAGGAGGAATTGAGCCCAATGGCACAGAGGGCAAGAACTTCTACATCCCCATGTCCAACAGGACTGGGATTGTTAGAAGTCCTTTTGAATACCAACAGTATTATTTGGCAGATCCTATCATGTTCAAGCTTCTAGCTTTCTACATGTTTTTCCTGATCTGCACTGGAACTCCCATCAACGGTCTGACGTTGCTGGTCACAGCTCAGAACAAGAAACTCAGGCAACCTCTCAACTACATCCTGGTCAACCTGGCTGTGGCCGGACTGATCATGTGCGCCTTCGGATTCACCATCACCATCACCTCTGCTGTTAATGGCTACTTCATTCTCGGAGCCACTGCTTGCGCTGTTGAGGGATTCATGGCCACACTGGGAGGTGAGAAAGAATTATAGAGGAAGTTATGCTTCCTATTTCATTGCCAAGTGTATAAATGAATAACTTTTCATACCTTTTCTCTCTACAGGTGAAGTTGCTCTGTGGTCTCTGGTTGTCCTGGCCGTTGAGAGATACATTGTCGTCTGCAAACCCATGGGAAGCTTCAAGTTCACTGGAACTCATGCAGGAGCTGGAGTCCTTTTCACCTGGATCATGGCTTTTGCATGTGCTGCTCCACCACTGTTTGGCTGGTCCAGGTGATACTCACATCTTTTTAAAATCTTTGATTTTAGTGTGATAGGACTTTGCATTTTAAAACCAGTTACAAATTACTCAAACACATGATTCAGCCTCAAGAAACTGTCAGTTTGTTAGTCACAAGGGTCTTACTGTGGATGCACAGAGAAAAAGTTTATTTCAATAGAATGTCTAAATGATTTTCTTTTTTTCAATCTCACACAGGTACCTCCCTGAGGGCATGCAGTGCTCCTGTGGACCTGACTACTACACCCTGGCCCCAGGCTTCAACAATGAATCATACGTTATGTACATGTTTGTCGTCCACTTCTTCGTTCCTGTCGCTGTCATCTTCTTTACTTATGGAAGCCTTGTCATGACAGTCAAAGCTGTGAGTAAAATGTATATTCTTCTGCCATTATTTAGAATTGCTCTTTGCCTTGTGTATTTATGAGTAACATGTATATAGAAGAATTTATTTGATGAACTTACCATTTTATATTTGACCAAACTCTTCAGGCTGCAGCCCAGCAGCAGGAGTCAGAGTCCACCCAAAAGGCTGAGAGGGAAGTGACTCGTATGTGCATCCTGATGGTCTTTGGCTTCCTGGTAGCTTGGGTGCCATATGCCACTTTTGCTGGCTGGATCTTCCTGAACAAGGGATCTGCCTTCTCCGCCCTGACTGCAGCCATCCCTGCCTTCTTTGCAAAGAGCTCAGCACTGTACAACCCAGTTATCTATGTGCTGATGAACAAACAGGTTGGTTTTGTATATTTTCTAGTCTCGAAGCATTTCCTTTATCTTCTTTATTTAATCCTGAACTGTGCATATACTTAGTTTCTGAATTTGCTGCTGTTTCCTTTCCCTTTCAGTTCCGTAACTGCATGCTGAGCACTATTGGAATGGGTGGCATGGTGGAGGATGAGACCTCAGTTTCCACAAGCAAGACAGAAGTGTCCTCTGTGTCTTAATCATGATGACATCCTCAAATCTGTGGACATTGTCCTTACTGATTGCTTCCAGATTTTAAAAGATCCCATTCAAAAAACAAACAAAATCATGAACTTTTGCCAAATGGATTTCTGGATATGATGAACGGAGTCTGGACCAAAAACACAGAGGAATTCTATCACATCTGTTAATATGTATAAAAGGGGAGGGTAAGAAGACGCATTTTCTGTGGAGGTTATCTTGTACAGCATTTGTATGTGTGTGTATGTGTGTGTGTGCAAGAGCCTGTTAGTGTGTGAGTGAACTCTGACTCACTGTACAGCTTGTGATGACACTCCAGACACCTCAACTCTCATGTCAAACTGTAAACCTGCTGAAATGTGACAACACTCTGTGCTATGATGAATGTGTAATCACACATGGGGTATTTTCATGTAATTATGTGGGGGAGCATTTGTTTCACTGGTCTACCAGTGGCATTATTTTTATGTATTTTATGAAAAAGAAGAAAAAGAACTATATATGGAGTAGATAATAAATGCATGCATGAAAAGAAATCTGCTGTTGTGTTCATTTAAGTCTGAACTTCACATGCTTGTTTGTTGTCACAAAGTGTTTAAACCAAAGTAGAAATTCATATATTTGAGTTAAAGAAATTATTATATTCAGCTTAGTTTTCCCCATAGGTGTACAACAACCTCTACCCTCAGGCCCTGGATTTGATTAAAATCCATAAACAGAAAGAGAAGTTGAAACACCCAAGGGTCAGCTATTCATGATATTCTCATTACCTCCCTCTTAGGCTTCAGAGAAACACCCTTTGTGTAAATACTCAAAGCTGTTTCTGTATGTGTCTATCACAGAGCCACCTCTGAGCAGACCTGCATATCACACTATAATCCCTCATTGTGTAATCCTGTGTGAATCCTCTAAAGCGGCAACAGGAGCAGAGGGCAGAGCTGCTGCTCCAGAGTCCTGGCAGATTTACAGCACTCGTTTCACACTAAATGTTAGATTTGGGACTTCCTGAAATATGAAAGTGAGAAAGTGACCCATGCAGGGTTAAATGTTATGAAAAGCTTGGTATTTGTATCACATTTCTTTGATAAGTGGCTGAAATTATTTTCATCTTGTGTAAAGAGGACAGCCTGTATTGAACCTCGCAGTCATTTAGAAAGGTTAACCTGGGACAGCACATTATCTGTGTGGTTGAAAATAATTTCACAGAAAGTTCATCTCTGGGTAAAGATCTTCTGACTTTACACCCACTGAAAATATATATTTACATGAACATGAAAATTAATCTAAATATATTCTACAGATCTTATGTCCATGATGAGTGAGCATCGTCACAGTCAATATGACTTACAGCACTATTTTAGAAATGCAAAAACGCTATGTCTTTTATTCACAAAAGCCTAAATGTTAAGTTGACCTCATCTGAAGTTGCCCACATTCCAGATAAAGTAATTGTCTAAATAATTAACTATTTTATATGGCATGGTAATGAGCACACCTCCACAGACTACATACTTCTGAGAATCGTGTGTATTATTAAAATGTGAAATCTGGTTCGAAAGTGCCTTTGTGTTTTGCAGTGAATTATGTTCTTTCTCATCTCACAGTTAAAGAGAACAAGTGAAGAAGGGAGGTTCATGTGACACTGATAACTATTTAGCAGATCAGCTGTGGGAATCCTGTAGAGCATAGACGACTCATGTGTGATATATTTAGTGTGATGTTATACAACCCCTTTGAGGCCAGAGACATTATTGACAACTCTGACATTATATCTGCAGGGCACCATGTCATACTATGTGGTTTCAGACCATTTGCAAATGTAACAAAATAGAAACTTACACATAATCCCTGCTCCAATACTATAAACTGTAAACTGCAAAAGTTTAAACTGTGGCATATGTGAAAAGTAAGAATCCTAATAAGCATATATAAGACATATAAGACATTTAAACCAGCAGGATCCTCTGCTGGAAAGCTTACAGCTAATAAGACAGGTGAATGACGCCCCCTGCTGGTGTTTACAAAGAAATCCAACATGTTCCACACTGTGCACCATATGTAGAGAAAAGTCACAGCATTTTCATGTTGTGCAGGGCATACAGACATAACCGGCGATATTTGTTACACACCACTATATAACATGTTACAGCTCAGAGGGGATTAATTACATATAAATACACCCTTCTTCCATACCCAATAGGCCATCTATCCCATGATGTAGCCCTTTATTTCCTGCTGATAACCTGACCCTAATTGTCATGCTGTGGGCACACACACTGTAATTTTCTTCAAAGAGCCTGCTCTGGACACCTGCATGTGCTTAGTGTCTCTGTCAGGGGGCCGGCAGAGACAAGAGTCGCCTCTCTTTGTTCTAATTGCTCGGATCAGATGGGAGGAGCCGCATACAGAGGTCTTAATAACAAACTTGGCATGCACTGGATATATTTCCAGGCTGTGAGGAAGCCTTGAGGAGGGCAACAGTTCTGCTGGCTGCAATCTGCAGTGGATAAGCTTTACTGATGAGATACTGTATTGATATTTGTATTTAGTGTTATTATCAACGTTGTTGTTGTTGTGGTGTTATGACACATTAACCAGTGCCAGTAACCACCAGCTAAAAATAAATGAATGAATAAATTATGGCTTTGTGGAAATTAGCCAATACTAGCTTATCATGCTGGTTAAAATCTATCCTTCAGGGAGAGAAAGAGACAATAAGGAGATTCCTCTTTCAGACAAACATGTATTAGGTGTCATATATGGTAGTGTGTTGCCATATTATTTTTGCTAATCAGATACTGGTGGTAGTTCTCCTTGTGAACTGAACATCATGTGTAAAAGTTGGTGGAGTGTCCCTTTAAATGAATGCCTAACAGATGGTTTATTGACAGTCATTACGACTAAACATCATGGACATGGTTTTTATTAAATGAAATATTTACATTGCCTGTGGTAAAGTTAGGAATTGGCTGATATTTAACAATTAGACATTACCTAAATGAGGTAATGATTTGTTTAAAGGGCCACAACTGTTCCTTCAACAGCTTTAATTCATGTATTATGAATTACTCAATTTAGTGTTAACATTACTGATATTTTTTATTAAACAACTTGAAGCCTGTATGTGCACAAATCTAACTCATTGTCATCAGCAGATTTCAAACTCTTCAAGTTGTATAGCATGGTAAGAGGTTTTAGGTATTAGTCTCATGATAATTCTCTTAGACAGGATGAAACTAACACCCCGAGGGATTATCCCTTTGGCCTTTGCAGTTGAGATAATCCTGATACACAGTGTGAAACATGCTTTAATGTCTGCGCTGGTATCTCCATTACAGTGAATAATCATTAGTGATTCCCTATACAGACTTCCTACATTTCTTTTTTAGTATTTCTACATTTCTTTTTTAGTATTTCCTCACTGTCAGTCTCCTCTGCTCTGTTTCTTCTCTCATGTAGAAGAAGAGATTCTCACAGCTCTCATCATATAAGAAAAACCATGGTAACAACTGCTCCACAGTGGATATGTTCACTTTGATATCAGTTACTGAAAACCGGAGTATCAGTGAAGAAGTTTCCCGAGCAAGACTTGAGGCACCCTTCAAGTAAAACAACAAACGAAATTTGATACCTTAAATGAACTTATCAGCTCCTCATCAGCTGGTAACAGTCACTGCGCTGAGTTTTAACCGCATTTTATGAATTTTATAGAAATGATATTCATTTGTGAAATTATAGTTTTAATGATCAGTGTAGTGCAGAGGACTGTGACAAGAGCGAGATGGAATATATGCAACAAAAGCACGTCAACATATTCCACATCCAAATTATGCATCTTAGTGTGTTTAGTATGGAACATAGAATTCTTCTGCTTTAACACAAGTATAATAAAATGTGACTATACACGTACCTACAAGAAAGCATACAAAATAAATACAAAAACAAATAACATATTTTAAGTTCCACTGAAACGGCACCAATTGTCCATTTGAAACCAATATTCATTTTAAAAAGAAAGGACACATTGGTTTTAATATCACGAAAAACCACCAATGATGACAAAGGGAATTAAAGATACAATCAAACATTAAATATTTATAGAGAGAAATCTGGCACATTCATCAGATATGTTTCAGCACTTGTACTGCACACATTTTCCCATCAAACATATAGAATGGAACAAAATATGTAATGCTTTTTCATAAAAAAACATTTCACAAGATAAGGAAAAGGGTAAAACTCTTCCATTTACAGGTAAAAAGTTTAACTTGTAAAATAAATTAAATGAAATTAGTTCAGTATTGACAGGCAGAAGCCCTAAATTCAAGCTAAAGCAACGAGATCAGTGGTCCTTTGTTCATTGAAATTCAAATTTCATGTTTTTCTCGGGTTAAAAATGGGAATATGTTGTCAAGAAACATTATCCAAGCAACCTGTAGGTAAACTCAAGTAGGTACAGTTATTTCTCAGGGTGTGTTGCATTTATTCTGTACGTACGGAAAGTAATGTCATTGGAAATTAATTTAACATTGTTCCAGTGTAAGTATTATATTTATTACACAGATGTTGTATATTGATAAATACTGATCTATAATGGTTTTCATCCTTGGAATAATTCATGTCCTTATTGATAAGGACATGAATTGAGGACATCATGTCTAATGGCAAAACCATGGTGGACTAGCACTAAACACACAAGGTGCAAACAAATCAAACATTACGTCAACTTATTTTTATTTCATTTTTTACCTCTTTGTTGTATTGTTTTGACCACACTGACCACACACTGTAACTCTCAAGTGAACACTGAGATGTTCAGAGCAAACGGTCCAAAGCAATATTTGCTTATTGCCAAAGACCAACTTCAAAAATGAAAAGAAAAAAGCAAATCAAATTCTCTCAGAATCTTATCAAGGACGTGCTAAATCTGAGCTCTTATATCAGGACGAGACTCGCCAGACAGACAGTGTGCAGATGGGAAGTAGGAATATGTTATCACCATAATATTTAGTCATAATACATATTTTGTAAAGGAAAAAGAAAAAAAAATCACTTGTGCATGTGTAAGTTCCAAAATGACAACTATGGGACAGTTGATGACTAAGCATATATGACATATGGGGGTTTCATCTCTGGGAACAGCTGGTCCGTTTTGGTGCCAGCTGAAGTCTAACACCTCAAATGCCAGAGAGTGGTCCGGCTTTCTGGTTGAGGCTAAACAATGCACCCACTAAAGGTAAAGTTTGATTAAGTTTGTTTGAAGTCGTTAAAACTAAATGATGTGATAAATAAGCAGTGGCTCTCTTGGGATACTTAAAAAGCACCAGGATGAGCAAGGTTTTGAAAAACATAATGCCATGGCGCCAAACAGTCAGTTTAGTAACATCAACGACCTTGGCTTAGGAAGGAGGTAAATTGAAGAAAACATTGAAATTGAAAATATAATCCTTCTTTGTACTATAACCAGGTGGACCTAGCAACGGTCCCACGGATGCACCCCCCAAATGGTGGTATATGAAGATTTTTTTTTTTCTTCAGGTTGGATTGAATGTAGGATGTCCATTTGATTTGTGTCTGTGCTAGACTGAACTGTTACTGACACGGATCAGAGTTTATCTGTATACATGTCTTGTTGCAAACACCATTGAGTGAAACTCTCAGAATCTCCATGTGCAATTAGCTAGGCTAATTCACCTATTTAGAGGGTTTCTGTGGTACCTCAAACAGTCAAATTGGGCATCTAATTTAGTTTCAGTTATGAGAAGTGCAGCTTTAAAACCTGAAGATTGCTGAGGTCCAAGAAAAACCACCACAAAATCACATCTCATTGACAAATATCATCGGCCCTTGAGAAGTCACTTTATTCTCCCTCTCACAAATTACCGGTTTACCAAGATATGTCTGTGGTAAACTGAAGCCCGCTTGTGACTGGTTGAGGCTAGCTTGCCTGTGGACCTGCTGACCGCCCTTTGACTGATTGAAACTGTTTTGTCTGGAGGTTTGTGGACCATAACTCTCCTCTGGCTGGTCGAAACTGCTCTCGCTGTAGAGCCGCTGTCGCATTTCACTAGACCGCTTCCCAGAAGCACTCCTGGTCGGGTATCTCTGACCTGTCTTGTACCAGCCTGTCTCTTTGAAGACAAACCAAATATTTCCGACCCAGAGGACTACGTTAACAAAACCAAAAACCTGGAGACAGAAGAGGAGCAGGAATAAATAACTTGTTTTATCCAGTTTTGTGTTTTCATTTGTTGACTGAATACCTACCGCAGACGTATTAAGACGTGACCAGAGGGGCTCCTGGGTAGCTGTACATTTGATTTCCTGAGCTCTGCAGGCTGAGATGAGCAGCAGCACCTGTGTTGGGTTCGTGGCTGTCTTGATATCAGAGAGAGTTTTGGCCCAACAACAACTGCTGGCCAGCCACATGAAGGAGAAGATGACTGTAACTACAAAATCCTGCTCAGGACAGGAGAATAGAAAAGAGATATAAAGGGAGAAAGTCACACACAGGATAGAATAATCAGTCACAGTCATGTCATGCAAACGCAAGACTATCACACTTTATTGTACCTAATTAAAACAAAGGACAAACACTAAAAGTTGGAGGTACAAACTCACTCACCACAAGTGGGCCTCTGTTGTTCTTCAAGTACTTGTTCTGGTAGAAGACATAGACAATGGTTGCCAATAGAGAGTAGAGGAAAGCAAAAACACCCACAGTCACAAAAAACTGAGCAGCTGAAGAAAAGTCGCCATCCAGGAAAAGAATCTCTTCTCTTTTCGCGTCGCACAAAGGAGCTTTGAAATGCACTTGTTGTAATCTACAAGACAGAGAGAGGAAGTTTACAGTGACTGGAAAAAAAACAAACAGGTTGTGAACTGACATGTGAGGAGATTGACAAGGAAACACGTCACTTTAACTGCCCATTGTACACTGGTACTTTCAGAGCACTTTTATAAAGTAATCTTGTGGCTAAAAGAAGTACGGTTGAAGCTAAAAATGCTTTCCCATGAGACCTCTGTGAATTTGGCGTGGCATACAAAGGGACAGACTCACAAAGAAGCTGCCACTGAAGAAAGACGAGCAGTTCTGCAACTTGGCTTTGTAAAAGGAAGCATAACAACATCTGGACTGTAAAAAGTTCTCAACTTGCTATAAGACAGTGGCAGGAGGGATTGTCACTATGAGAGGACCAGGGTCAAATCTATTTTGGTGAACATGAGCTCATTTCATCATACAGACGTTGAGGTTTTCATGATCCTTTTATTGTTTTGTGATTGATAAAGCACTGAGGTGGTGGTGGGATTTTTTAAATTTATTTTGTTTCAGTCTTGGTGTTAGATCATTTCTTTATTTTATTTAATTTCATTTATTAATGTACAGTTTATTCTCGCAACAGTAGATGGATAACAGGAAATGAGGGCAGAGGGAATGACATGCTACAAAAGTTTCAGACCCGGCACATGTGGAGGGTTTGGTCATGGTGTAGCTGATAATGATTAATCCTATTTCAAAAAAACATAACGTAAGTCAAACTATAGTCTAGCCAAACATATCTCAACACTTTGTTTAGTGCTGTGCCAGTGGAGAGTCAAAAATAGTCTATAGTCTCAAATATGTTTTATAGCTAAACTACCTGAAACAGTGACTTTAGTTGCCTGATCTATCAGCAGGATGCCAGTCAATCATATTCAGTCTCATGTATGATGCATCACTGTGTTGTCTGAAGCCCAGGATGCTTGCTTTCACTTATCAACGGAGCGCGAGCAACCAGATGCTGAATGCAGTTCACTTAACAGCCACCAGTGTCATTAATAAGGGTTTTTGTGAATGTTACATAATAGTACTGTATTTCCTTAAACAGTGGCCAGGGCCTTTATGTACCTTAATTGCAGAAGGTAGCAGACCTTTGTTTGAGGCTTTTGTTATAAGCAGGCCTTTATTTGTAATTCCCTCTGTATGTTTATAGTCATACTTTAGTAGGAAGCCTTGTTTTGATTTGCTGCTGTTTGTCCCGTTAAAGTTAGTGCCTTAGACAGTTAATACAAACTCAGCACTTCTTGTAACTATTTCAAACACAAACAAAGTGTTTAAAATAGATTATGATTATATTGTTGAATTTATTAAATTAAAGCAGTGGAAAGGTGCATTAAAATGCTTAACTAGTATGCAGGTTATATGATAGGCACCAGGAGTGTATACTGTTTTTTGTGCGTCCTGTATTTGGGGGCAGATCTTTACTAGGTTATGTTGATCATGCCCCCAGCCATTATAGGAGACCTGGCAATAAATGTAAGAAATACATTCTAAGTGACGATGGCAACTGGTTGAAGAAGACTGTGACAATGGACATTGTTTTGCCACAGTTGAGCATAAATTTGATTGTGCCTTGTAATATTATTGCAATAAATGAAGCAAAACTGCCAGACATGTATCTAAATACAGTTAAAATACACAAAGTCTAAGCCCATACTGCACTGTACTGAAAACATATAAAACACTGAACTGTGGTCGCTACAATTGTAATTACATCTATAGAGTAGTTTCCACTGAACAAACAAACACCAGTGTCAAGCCAGCTGAACTGTTAATTAGACACTTGGCCATCACTCACACACTCTGGAGCATGGAGCATGGGGGTGGTCGATCACACTGCTGCACTACAATACCATTGAGCTCACTACCACAACCACATCCACAGCACACCATTAATCATTCAACTGAAGTGGTAATCATGACCATTTCATTTGGATGAACCAAAGTTACTATCCAGCCAACTTTGATCATTGATCATTTGTGTTTATATTTTTCTGTTGTTGAGTCAAATCTAGAAACACCTTTCTTTTGCTCAGTGTTTTTATTTTTGTGTATTTGATGAGAAATGTCCAACTGAAATAAGATAAGAGAAGAGAAGAGAAGAGAAGAAAATATATAAGATAAGAAATAAAAATTTAATTATTATGGATGAATGCATTCTGTATTTCCGCTGTGGATACTGAAAATAAATATTTTCTATTTTAGCCCTGTAGAAAGAAGTACAAGCTTCACTTAAAATAGCAACAAATCTGACAAACAGAGTCTTCTCTATTCTAGTCTTTGTTTTATCATCCTCCAGAAAGCTGTGTTTGTACATCTGAGATTGTCGTGCAGTACATGCAGGTCTGCAGGAGTAAAAATGAAACAAGACACTATTTCTGTAGCTCATCAGCTTATCAATGGATCTCTAGGCAGTTACATGTACATACTGCAAAGAAAGATGTAGTGGTAAATTGCTGTAATATCACAAGAGACCACCTGAGGTTAAGTCTTGACTGAAAGGACTCCAGGTACGGTTTCGTCTGATGATGCAGTGAAACATTATATATTCTTGGATCTGAAATTGGGCCATTTTCCCACTCAGCTGTCCAGCTTCCTGATCTTAAATTGGATGAGCTTCAAGAGAGAATAGCTCCCCTCTACCGAGCCTGACAACATGATGAAGTAGAACTGTGCAGTTTTTAAATCTTCTTTTTTCTGCCTGACCACTTTCCTGAAATTCACACAGATGATTACTGGGGACATGTCTGGTTAGGTTGAAAGCACAGTTAATAAAGTCTAATAAAATCTTCACTCCTTGTCAGTCATATAAAATTCTATTAATCAAAGTGTCAAAGATTAAATTACTACATAAAAACATACTCATTTTATAATTAATATTTGTTCTTTAGGTATTAAATATTCCAGAAAAGTTAATTATCCAACAAGATCAAAGAAAAAAACAAATTAATTTATATCATGGGACTTTTTACTGGATTTGCTGTTGCAAAGGTTTCAGCATTTGAAACAAGAGGTGAATATAATGTCAAACAACTACTTTACCTGAAAGGATAACCAAAGTCAATGCTGATGCTGCGGTTACTCTGCCTCCTGTCTGCACAGTCCACTTTAACCTGGAGATGACCATTGTATCCTCCACATGTTGCAAAAGCACAGATGGCAAAAATCTATAAAAACAAACAAACAAACAGAAATCTGTTATTGATCACCATCAACTGATAATTAATCCGTTGGCTTAATCCAGTATCAGTTCTGTAGGTGGTTTTCTGCATAATACATAGACATCAATAAATTACAGGACAGATTATTAAGATTTATAATTGGTTTGAAAGCAAAACCTGAATAATTTAAAAGTCGGAAGACAACTAACAGAGCTGCTTACTGTGCACTGGAGGGTGGCCACAGCAGTACAGTGAGATTCAATATACAACTCTAAAGTCTTTCTATCTTTTTGTCTTTATGTCTCTTATACAATAAAATCAGAATATTACTCACTTTCACAATCTTCATTTTAAGAATGAGATATTTACTGTGTCAACTATATTATTAATAGCTCTTTTAAAAACTTTTAAACGTGCCACATGTAGCATCGACAAACTGCAACAGTGGCTAAACCAGACATTTCATGCAGTCCTCTTTCTCTCAGCAAATCATAAAATGATTAAATGAATGAGAAGCACCATTAAGATCACACTTTACATTGTATTTCATACAATGGAACACACATCACAAAGGAAATTAAGCAGGATCCATTAAAAAAGAATAATGAGACTAGAAAATTAAAACTTACCGGAGCAAATATAACCATACACATTTAAAAAATCACAGGGCTCAAGTCCAAGTCCACACAGGGTCGACAGCTTTTGTCTCTAGGCTGAAAAGCCACTGATGTCGACAGGAAAGAGAAGAGAGTGACTCTTCCAACAAAAGGGGGAGGGCTGACAGGAGATATCTTCCCTAAGGAGGAGTCTGAGATTTTCTCTAACTCTACATTTATTGGCAAACACTGCAACAAACTGTAAATACCTACATCAGGTAAAAATGTACAGCATTATTGTTTATATTTCTATTGTACTGAATAGCACATTCATTCTTTTCGTGGCTACATAATTGTTGTTGTAGGACCATGACAATATTGATCTCAAAATATCATCTTCTATATAAGGCTACATTGGGAAGATGAAACAAATGGAAATATCTGGGACTTAATTTTCAGCACATTAATCATTCCCCTAGCCCAACACTTAAGTGGTGGTTTCACAGAGTTGATCTTAATACCACAATCCTTTGAACTTACATGTGCTGTATTGTGCTATTTTAGGCTGATCTGATTTTGTGAATTTTGATATTTTCATACAGGGGAACTTCAGGGTTCATCATAATCACAGAAATATGGGAAACTGCCTGCTCTTGACATGGCTTGCTGTGGGCTGTAAAATGCAGAGAGGTCGGTGGGGAAACTATTTAGCATAAATAAATCACTTCTCTGTTTTCCTGAACTCATAAATGGTTTTGTGGGTGTATGATAATGTAAGGTAATTAATGGAATTTATTTTAATATATATCTAAGCAAGCCATTTCCTTACCAAAGACCGTGTTGCCATGGTAACTAACGTGTAACCCAAAATGCTCTTATGCTCCAGTACAAAAATGACTTTCTTCACCATGTACTATCATTATTGTCCTTAGTAGTTTTAAGTTAACAACATATTAGACATTATGATTCATTTTTGTCATTGATATGGATGTAGATATGTCAGACTGTGGTTCATAGGCAAGTTGCATCAATATAAACAGACATAAACATAATTGAAATATATTGCAATATCATACTGAGGTCTGATAATTACATGGATTGTAACTCCCTGTTTTTGTATCAGCTGACTCTGACAACAGATATACATTTTGAATGTCTTTAATAAGGTTTCAGAGTTTGCATATGTGTTGGAATAAAAATAAAAAGTAGTTGTAGAGCAAAGCAGGTTACTTATGGGTGCCAAAGATCCTTGCAGTGAGCCAGCCATAAATATGTATATATGTTTTCAAATAATGAGGCTTATAGCCTCATATCTGTGTAGTAAGATTTAGTCGTCTCTACAAACCAACATTCTCTGTTGTGATGGCTTTGATTGATTTTGATTTAATTATTGATTGATTTAAAAATATGCAGCTCAGTGTAATGAAATATAATAAAAGAGTGTACATTTCATATGAATTTGGATTGTAATCACTAGTAGATACTTTAATTATGTTTTATTTTCTAAAGATCCATTCATGATGATTCATAGACCATTTGAACTGGTATAAAAGGATTCTGCTGACCCCTTTTGGTCATATATGTCTATTACAGATTTATTCTTAAAGAAAAATAAAGTTAGGGGTATATACATTACTGAATGAAATAAATAATATATTTTTAATGTATATAAGTGCAGCTTGGATTTTAGCAATAAAATTTAGCAAGCAACACCACAGGCTAGTCTCATTTTGTGCATCAGAAAAATAATTCATCTTCACACAATCTTCACAATTGTGTTTTTTTGGATAAAAGAGTTCTTAAATCCAAAAATTTTATTCAGAGAGAGAAACTCTCAGATTCATAAAATCCTAATTTTTCAGGCTGAATTGATTTCTTATTGACAAAATAAGAGGCATTTTATACCTGGTGATGGTTTGAACATCTTTTCTTTTTTATATGGAAGTTTTAATGAATCAAATGAATGAACTGTAATCAACCACTGGATTATACATTATGGTGCTGTGCACTGAATGTTAAGTTACCAACATATTTAAAAACAAAGTTTATAATTTTGCTTTGAGAGACTCAGCAGAGCATGCAATGGTTTAACGTAGGTTTTAAAAAGGGATAAAAGCAGTAATTAACTAAAATGGCACAAAGTAGAGCACTTCCACCAAAGAAGTCATAGTTCTCAGCACCATAAATATGTTTGAGTCATACATTATTTTTTGCAAAATTGACAAAAATGTTTTAAAAAATGGTGCAAAAATGGTTTCAAGGAAAGTGGTAAAAAAAATATTCCTGGATCCATTCCTTTGAATGCGTTCTTCCTTATCCCATGCCCCATCCTTCCACCCAGTTTGGTACAAATTGGTTCAGTACTTTTTGAATAATCCTCACAAATAAACAAACAAGTAAACCAAGAAACATGGGGGGAAATATAACCTCTTTGGCTGAGGTAATGCAAGGGTACAAATGAAAAGGGATAGAGCTCCTATGAATTCCATTCCACAAAACACTGAGTGAAGAAACACGTACTGTTATGTGTCAAAGTGTTTTACACTCTCCTGACAATTACCCGACACCTACACGAGTTTAAAAGCAGTAGGAACTTTAGAACCATTAATCATCCATATGGCTATGGGGAAGACTTTAACTCAAAGCTGCCATAGGTTTGGCATTGACAAGACTACAAGTTAAAGAAATATCTTAATACACCTTTTAAATTAATGGGATATATACAGCAGTAAATGGGCCATCTTAAAAGTAATTCAACAACAAGGGTAGCAGCCAATTTAGGATTAAAAATATGAAAAATAATGTCTTGACAATCATGACAAGTCTGTCCTGAGAAGTGATTTTAAAAAAGAAAATGACTTTGATTGCCCCATTCCCTGTGGCAGGTTTGTTGATGGCAAAATGTATACCCAATGCAGGAACATGAAGACAGAAACCCATTTTGTACAAGCCACGGGCTGACAACAGGAACATTGAAAGGGTGTGAAAACGGCCATTGATGCAGCAGTCTAGATGATATGAGTTTGGTCAAAGATAAGAATATTCCTTTGTAATTCTCAGTTGAGCAAAACAGCCTTAGCTTCATTCAAGTTAGTTTCGAAATACCCATCCAATTACTGCTTTTGAATGAGGCAGATAAAACACAACTGATTTAGAATAAAACATTTTGCAAAATCCAGCTCCATCTTTCAGCAAGGCTCTCTGGTGTGAAAGCTGTTTACTGTTGTTTTGAGGGGAGGGTATAACTGGGTATCAGCAGAGAGCAGTGCCGTTATATTTACAGTCAGCAAGTGAGGTTGTAGAAAAATAAGGATTTTACCTCACAGGTAATATGCAGAACGTTGGTGAATCCTCTGAGCTAACAGAGAATATTCTGTAGTTCTGTACTTCAGTGTTGAATCACTACTTATCAACAAGTAAAAGTTGTTGCTTAGAACTCGTCAGTCTTTGTGCTCCCATATGACAACAACACTCCACAGCAAAGATGGAATATGTATTGAGATCAAAACCCAATTACAAGTAAAAGTTGTTGTTAAGCTTAAGATTTCACATACGGATGTTTTGTATGTAAAATCTTGATTTGAGACACAGCCTTGTGGACTTATGCAAGGCTGGATTACCAACCAGGCAATGCAGGTCACTGCTGGGGTCCCATAAGCCCCAGGTCCACTGCATGTCAGTGGGTTTAGATAATGTGATTGTTTAAAAACTTGTTAGGGAAATTGCATCACCAGAACACAATTTCAATTAAGGTATGCCATTAGGTAATTTGGTAGCTATGACTTTTAGAGGGGCCCTGGATTTAAAGAGCTTTACTATCTATAGTATCTCACGTGGTACACATAGTGCACAAAATAAGCATCATTCGAGCAAAAGGAGCGCTGGTTGCACTGGATAATAATGCACCAATTACTTGTGATTCCAGTTCTGACGTGAGGCCAGAGGGCTGTGGCACAAAAAATTTTGTTGTGGTCGGCCATCACTGACCAAATGTTATTGTTAGCAGAAATTTGATAATGACATTAATGCAGAAACTGTATTCTCTCACATCAACTGTATTCTGATATCCTGCATTGTTAGACTGAATGGAAACCTGGAGGTGACGCATGTATGTAATCGATCTGTAGATAGGGGGTCAGTAGGTAGGGTCTTGCCCCAAGCCTCTAACAGGTTATGGTCGTGTGTTTGTGCATACCAGATTAATTTCTGTGTTGCACTTTCTGTCAAGACTTTTTGGTGTATAATTATTCTGTCACTTTTATAAAATTAAAAAATATATAATAGTAATTAGTTTTTCCATCTGGCTCTGGCTGAGACTTTAATCTTATTAGCAATGTAGCCAAACATTCACTGTGTTTGCAGCGTTGGTTATTCAAACACAACAAAACAATTACTTGAAATGCTCTTTGATTACTCAGCCAAAAGAGGGCAGTACTTAGCCGTGCTGATTGAGAAGAAAATCCGTGACGCTGCAGTGATGAGCAGCTCTTACTTTCTCACTGCATTTGATCTTTCTTTTCTCTGCAAAATCCATTTGACAAACGTGTCTGCCATATGTAGAATAAGCTAAGTACACAGCAATCTATCGACTGATGCGCCCACTGATTGGATGAATCGTGTACTCCAGCCGAAGAGAACACTGTACTGGTCTAACAGCTGTAGGGTTTTTTCGTCATGTTAAAGTGGTGAGGCTCCAGCCTCTCGCTGCATTATTAATGACTCTTTTTCTGGCATCATGTTCCCTCTCTACCCTGAAAACTGTGGGAGGAAGAGAGAAGCATAAATCTGATGGTTTTCAACTGTGGAGGCCTCCACCTGTCACTAAGCAAAAACACATACAGCACGCATTAAAGAAATGTACTGCCCACCAGATATGATATAGTTTTTATATTTTTCTCACAGAAAACCACCTTTGGTTCACAGCTAATCGGAAACATGCAGAGATGCACACCCACTGGAAATCATAAGTGAGGCCGAGTGGATGCAACATACGGCATGTTTGTTTAAAAGGCTGATCATTCCAGTGCAACCTGAAATTATGAAAAGGAATCTTGAAT